AAGCAGGGCTGGGCCTGGTTAGTACTTGGATGGGAGAACACGGGGAATTTCAGGTGCCACGGTGGGGTGCAGGTGGCAAAAACACTGTGTCATTAGGCAAGACACTTCACCACATTGCCTCGTATGAATGTGGTGAGTGTCGATGGTGATTGGAGGGGTCGATGGGGCAGATTTACAGCCTCGTTTCTGTCACTCTACCCCAGGGCAGCTGTGTAGAGTGAATTAATAGTTAAGCATCTTTGAGTGTCTAAAAAAAGCACTATATAATCAACTACATTATTACTACACTGCAAAAAACTAAATCTAGTCAGGTTAAGATGACTTGAATGAAAACATTTCACTGGATAAGTAAAATTATCTGCCAGTCTCAAGTCTTTTTGTGCTTAAAATATGAAAATATATTTTGCTACACTTAAAATAAGAAGAACAACAACTTTTTGCACTTAAAATAAGGAACAAAATCAAACGTTGCTTAAATTAAGAAAAACACTCTTATTCCATTGGTAGGTTATTTTACTCGACAAGTTGAATCTACTCAAATAAAAATAACAATAAAATGTTTTTAACTTAAGTCATTTTAACTTAGCTAGATATTGTTGTTGTTGTTGTTGTTTTTTCCAGTGTATTCATAATTTAGAACAGGGGTGTCAAACTCACAGAGGGACAAAATTAAAAACTGGGGCCTAACTAAATATTTACTGAAAACATCTGCATGTTTTCTCCTCTTTTGAGATATGTGATGTTGAACTTTTTCTTATTAAAATAAATGTTTCATAATAGTTTTGCTTAAACATTGAATGCAGAATAAGCATAATATGAAATAATAACAACATTTTAAATAAATAATGTCTCTATAGCCTATCTGCATCTGTAGCCGGTGGGCAGCTCTAATACATGTTTGATATGATCTCACGGACCAAATATAATTATATCACATGCCAAATTTGGTCCCTGGACCTGAGTTTGACATTTCTGATTTAGATAGAGCAACAATAAATTTATATTGCATTTTATTTATTTTTTGCCCCCAAACTTGCCTGAAAAAGTCTGATGGCTTTAAAGATCCTAGATTTCACAACATTGACTATTGTGAGGTTTAAACCATGTGATAATTCTGTTACCTCATCAAAAACATACCTGGAGTTGTGTTTTGTTTCATTCACATGTTTGAGTAATCCTTTATAATTAGTCTGTCTACATCTCCAAAGTTCAAAATGCTCTGTTCAACTTTGTGATGTCATGAAGCGGTATGGGTTTAAGCACTTCCCTATTGCCCACAGAACAACTTTAATTTAATTTTGATTGCAGTGAATATTGAGATTTTAGATACTCTAAAGTCACTGTATTTTGCCTGGCTACAGTAAAAATTTAAAGTAACCCAAGAATGTTGTAAATTAAAATAATCACTGAAATATACTCCATTTTATTTTTACTGTAATAAGATGTGAAATTGGTTAACAGTATGGAAACTAAAAACTACAGTATATTGCTTGATCTCTGCTGCCAGTACTTTATTGTAAATTTTAAAAAATACAGAAATATACTGTATTTCACCAAAACAATAATAAGCTGTAAAGTCATATCACAGTATGAACAGTGAAGTGCTGGCATCTCTTTAGTTTTCATGTAAACAACTACTTTTTTCCTTTAGTTCATTAGAGATTGTCAATTCCAGGTGGGGTTGAGATCATCCAGATGATTCTAGTGATGGTGTATGGAGTTTAAAAACACAGTGGCGCACTTCCTGTAATACCACATGACATCACAAGGTGGAGCAGAGTGTTTTCTGTTTGCAACATGAAGTAAATATGTAGGATTTGTGTGTTAAACATGTGTGAATGAAACAAAACACAACTCCGGGTATGTTTGTGATGAGGAAACAACATTATAACAGAATTTACTCCAACTCTGCGTGTATATTGAAGTACACTGAGGAGGTATATCCACAAAAACATGTACAGTGAATCTATAGGCATCTGGACTTGGTGATAAAAGCAGTAAAAAGCAGCATATAGGAGAGCCGCACGTGCCCACCACATTTACAATGGAGCAGCAGGCCCCACAGTCTCCATCACAACCTGCTGACTCCACCATCATCATCATCTTCTTCATCTGGTCCTGTGCAGACGAGTGTGGACTTAATAAAAGTGTCACATCTCCAACTGCACTGTTAAATAAAGATGTGAGAAGGAGGAGGAGGAGGCTACTGCAGTCCAGAGCCGAGGAGAGAGCTTGTTAAAGACTCAAAATGGCTGACCGCACAGTTTGTTGAAGTTATATAAATGTTATAGTCTGTACAGAAGTCACCATCATGCGCAAGAAAGAACAATAAAGGTACACCATGTACCTTTTCAGACTTTTTTAATGCTTTGCCTGGAATGCTGAAGTAACTGCATCTATCGCATTTAATCTATCAGCATTTTTTATTGCTTAAAATGGAAGTTATATAGATTTTATAGTGTACAGTAGGATGCATCAAATTTGAATGGGAAATCATTTTAAAATTTCAAAATATCAATTTGGGTGCCATTGCTTTTTGTTCCAATTAACATAAAAATTACTTTTGCAAAGTTTTGAGGAATTCCATTGAGATTTGGGGTGCCACCTCACACGTGAACTTCTCTGAAATTTTAATTCTAATTGCCAAAAGGTTGACCTAGAAATGTTTAGTACAGAAATACCCAAGTTGACCAAAAACAGAAAGATCAGCTCAGTTTTTTTTTACGCTGCAGTCTTTACCTCAGATCTCCATGGCGACCACTGAGCGCTGTTTACCACTTTATCCAACAAAAACAGACCTGAGGTGGCACCCCTAAATCATCATGTACTGGAAAAATATTTTGCATTTGTTGTTTCTTCATATATTGGAACACATTTAGCACCCAGCCATATCAGAATTCAAGAGTTGTGTTTTATTGATGCACCCTAGTGTACAGACAAGGAGAAAAATCTGCAATTAAGCAACTTTACTGGTGGATGGTATAGCACCTGTATATTTCCATGGAGATGTTATTGCCTGTCCTGTAATGCTCCACAGTATGGTATTAAATACATCATTCCAGTTTTAACCAATCATATTTAATTATTGCTTAAAATACTATTATCCTCTCCACAGATCTGAGCTGTAACTTGTGATTAATAATACCATACTGTGGAACATGCAGCACAAAGCAAGGTTAAGTTATTTTGTCCATAGATGCACATTACTAAACCTGGAAGGCATGCATTGGCTAAGAAAGACGTGTATATAAAGTGAACCAGTAATAGAAATAAATGCGATAAAATGGTTATGTTTTTCATCTATGTGGAGTTAATATGATTAACTGAGATTCAGGAGCTGGACCACGCCTCAACCTCCACTCCAGCCAATCACGGCTTATCTCATCCACGCCTTTAATTACCCAGAAATCCTATTTATACTGTACAGCCATCCTGACATCACCGCCTGTGTCAGCTCTCTCGACCCCCTCCATCCCACCCCGTGTCTCTCGTCCATCCTTCTGTCCAAAGACATCATCTTAAGGACGGGGGGGTTCGAATCAGCTGGGTGACCATCTTGGATTGTAGACGGAGCCCACACCGCTTTGTCTCCCCCCAGCCATTACATCTATAGCCTGATTCATCAGCAGGTTTAACTTCGTGGAAACCGTCTGACCTTGCAGCATTAGAATTAGTTCGCTTGATGGTAGACAGGTACTTTATTTATCCAATCACTGCTATTTGGTTGTGATGTATGTAATGCGCCGCTAACGGGGCTAACTGGTATATTAAGCTTTTCCCAAATCATGTAGGAAAAAGGGCAATAACGTCTTTTCTCTTGATAAAATTCATCAAACATTCTCTTTGTTCCGGCTTTAAATCCTCGATCTCGGGAATCATTGCCATCACAGAATGTATGGCTCTTCGCTGATTGGCTGGTGCCCGAACTCGCTTTTCTGGGTTTTTTGTGAACCATCTAGTGTATAGGCGAGTTTCAGCTGATGTCATTGTTATTAAAAGCCCACGTTGCATGCTGGGAAATATTTTGGTCGGAGGCAAGAAACACAGTAGTGGTCAAACACAGTGCGTAACCTCGCATATTTATCCCTGATAATTGTAAATTTCTGCTGCATTATCAGATGCACAAATAGAAGCACGGAAGAAGGAAAATGTCTTTTTCGTATTCCGAGTGAAAAGAACCGCTAACGGCAAATTAAATGGCTTTCAAACATCCTCAGAGCAAACGTAGTAGATCCTGGCAAACCGTGGACTCCAACAAGTTCAACAACGTATCGAGGCTCTTGTCGGCTTTCATCTTTTCTGCTGTGAATGACCCAAGAGTTTCCAACAAGTCATTGTGGATATCACCGAAGTGAATATTTGGCCAGGTAGTTGGCGATTCTGACCAGAAATTTGGTTTGGTCCATGCTTTGTAGGGGTTGAAAAGGGTGATTTGGCGTCCATCGAGGCTTATGATCAATTTCTGGTCAAATCGTCTTCGGTCCTCTGCTGTTAGAGTGGATAAATAACCAGGATCAATACCCTTTACGTGCTTTCTCGCTCTGTCCGTCATGTTGAATTAGTGTTTATTGCCACCAACCAAAATAATTCCCAGCATGCAATGTGCGCTTTTGTCAACAATGAACCTCGCCTATTCCGATTCCTGACCAAGTCGCTGGAGAGAAATGAAATTGAGCGGAGGCACTACGTGGCACCAGCCTGGATATCACATCTGTTCACCATCAATAAATATCTTATCGCATTCCACTGTTATGGCGTGAAATTATCTTAACAGTGGCATAATTAACAGTAGTGAGCTGCACTGGCATTGGCCCTCAGACATCTGTGACTATAGAGAATGTATAGTTTATTTACTCACATAAACTGGTTAATATTGTACCAAAGTGAATAAGAGAAAAGCATAAAAGAATTATACGACTTTCAATTATGTACTATATGAATAAAGCCTTTTGTAAATGTGTAATGAAAAGTTTATTATTTGTTTATATACAAACAACCCAGCAAGGCACACTTTTATTTAAATAAGAATATACAATACATCTTATTATGGAAACAAAACAACTTTTAGTCTTGAAATATATTAATACAGTCTTTTAGGGGTTGGCTAAAGCAAAGGCCGCGTTTAGTTTTTCAAATTATACAAATATTTCTGGCAAAAAAAAAAAAGTCAGAAAATATGACTGAAATGTGAAAGTGTAACAGCTGATAAAATCTATCAAATAATTCAAAAAGTATATTAAAATAAATTTGTACTAAAATATTGGTAAAATTGAAACTAATAATTCTCCAAAAACAAAGCACAGTTAGACCTCTATATAAACACAAATAGGGCTTTCACATACAAGAAAAATATATATATCGTACCAATTTAAGTGGTAATCCACAATTTAACAGTCTCATTCTACAACATGTGTTAGCTGTGTGTGAAATGTAAATGATGAAAAGTAACATTTCGAACACAAATTCCTCATGTGAAACTATAATTATTTTTTCCAAATAAAAAATTCTACTAAAATGTTCTTGAATTCAATGGGATCATACTGTATATCTCGAACAGGATGTGACAAAAAAGGTGGAAAAGTTATGAAGAATTATTATTTTTGGATTAGACACGTAAATTCCTGTGTCTGATTTAGGTCTTATAATAAAATATTGTGTAACAGTATCCAAAAAGTCTGTTAATCAGGTTTACATCTTATGGTTATTGCAAATCATTTTCTGAGCACCACAGTTTATTATTTTCAAGCCATTTTAGTCCTGGTTCAACTGTGGTGTAGTAAAGACATAGTCCTGATTTGGACCTGTTTAAATCCTGGTTAAGTCCTGGATAAAGAAACATTATGCAGCTTTTCCAGCGGAGTCTGTGACCTGTTTGTCTCCATCTAAATCTTACATTTAATATTTTTAGTGCTAAAATGAACAAACTTTCTTATTGTAAATCGTCTTAGTAAGTCATCTCTCCGCAGATCTGAACTGTAACTGGACTTGGTGGCACTACCTGCTCGTCTCTGTAGAGGCGGAAACATTTAATATTGTACTGTGGAACATTCTAGACCAGGGGTGTCCAAACTTTTTTCATCAAGGACCACATATCTAAACACAGACGAAGCAGAGGGCCAATCAAGGGCCGTAGACTGATGCTCAGTACAGGGAATAACTGAAATTTGTGCATGTTTAACACGTTAGAATGAGCCATCAGTCTTTATTCATGCTAAGATCCTTAAAACCACACACTAAATATTAAATATTAGCTTTATCAAGGTAGATTTTCAAAAATCTTGCAATATAAAGTTTATTTTTTATTGATGCAAGGTAATTTGGGCCAAGTCACCTGGAAGTCTGAGGGCCAAGAAAAAAATGTCTGAGGGCCGCATTTGGCCCCCGGGCCATAGTTTGGACATGCCTGTTCTAGACAATGCAAAACCATCTCCTATAAGTAGATTGCAAACTCTTCACCAGAAAAGTTACATAGAGCACAGTTAAGACCTGGTTTCTTCTCAATTCAATCATAGTTTAGTCCTAGTTCAGTCCTGGACCTGGTTCAGTCCTGGTTCAGGCCCACTTTTGACCATGTTTTCATGAGTCAGTTCTCCCGACACCCATTAAATGTGTTCCATTGCAACAGTTGGGAAAATATGGATGCCCGAGGAAGTTTAATGTTTATTTTGTTAGCTTATGTAGTTAACGTAAAGCAGGGGTCTCCAACATGCAGCTCGGGAGCTACCAGTAGCTCTCCAAGGGATTTTTTGGAATTACACGTATTGTGCTGAATAAGTAAAACTGGATTAATTAAATGCCTTTTACCACCATACATGCCTAACCTTGTACACTAATAAGTGGATAAAGGTTTACGTTTTATAGACATATAAATGTTCCTCATCTAAGGCCGTGACTCTTATATTTGCTCAATTTCTTGTGACCGCTAAAACTAGTAGCTCTCTGGCATTTTCATTTTGTAAAAGTAGCTCACTGGAGGAAAAAGGTTGGAGACCCCTGACGTAAAGTATCACTAGCTCCTGCTAATAAATAGAGCCTGTTAGATAATATTAGCTGTCGGCAACTCAATTATGGCAGTTTGACTATGACATGTTCAGAAATCCATCCGACTCAATCTGCTCTGAACTAGTCCAAGTTTCCATTGCACTTTCTCGAGGTGGAGGTCGGTTTTCCTCGAGTCTCGAGCACAAAAGAATGCAGACTTACTTTTAATTGCTTTAGATCCTGGTTCAGGCTCGGTTTTGGACTAATTCCTTACTTGTAATTGATTTAGACCCTTATTTAGACCTATTCATTGATTTCAGAGTGATAAAACGACTGTTACCACGGCAATTAACAATTTAAACACAACAGTATATCTTTTGAACGGTGAACAGTCCTCAAAATGTTCCACGAATACATTCTTACAGCCGCACCGAGTGGTGTATTACGTTGTTTCGCACAGTGTTAATCTGCACACTTATTTATACAGAGCCTTCAGTCGTGGTGTCATCCTGTCACTCTACTCAAGCTGCCGTCATTTACAAGAAAACAAGAAAAAAAACAAAACAAAAAAATGTTTGTCTAGCATCAGTCGGCGTGAAATACCCTTTTATCAATGCTTACAGCGCGAAGAGACAGATTAAACAATGAAAAGACGTGTGACAAAAGGCTTGCTGTGACTCAAAACAAATCAAAAAATGTGCTACAATGCAGGAAACGTGTCAACTTTGAAAAAATATTAAGATGCAGGCTGTCAGAATCACGCGCGTTGGTATAATCTGTCCCCAGTAAACTTACAATCATCAAAAGGTCCATCTTTACTTCCTCTTTGACCAGGGTACCGGATAGGCTGCTCCTCCAGTTGTGCATGTCGTTTTATTGAATATTCCTATTGCTGTGTATGCATATTTATGTGTCTTTATCATGCCAGCAGGCCTAGTCGCTTCACCTTTGCAGACAGGAAAGAGTGGATGATGAAGACTAGAGTTTTGGGGCAACAGTGGAGGTCCAATTGCTGAAAAGGATACAGAAAACAAGAATAAGATTAATATACAGAGGTAAATATAGGTAGAGGTGGCATTCACATCTTAAATTCCTTCTAAAATTCCTGATGTTTAAAATTTTGCTCCGGGAAGAGGTTAGGATTGACTGACTTTGGTGTTTAATTTTAAGATTGAAGATTTGTTGACCTGGATAATATATCTGAGAGTATTTGCATGAAACAAAAACTGTCACTAAGTTCTTCTCTATTAGCATAAATGAAAGAAAGTGGTGCAATCATTTAAATCCAAAGATGTATTTTTGTTAGTCAATGGTAGGTTCAACATTTGTGGATTAAAAGTTTGGATATTTCTTTCAGAAACAGTGAATCTTCTATAGAGTTATATTATAGACCCCTGCCCTCTGTCTGAAATTAGGAAATTATTCTATAGAACAACATAGAAACAACGCATTTTGATATTTTAAGATGCACTGATCCTTTGTAAAAGACAAAAATAGCACAAACATACTATTTCAGATTCGGGGCCTCCAAAGTCGAGGAACATCATGCGGACGCCGTCGTCAGAGGACATCTTGAGACGTTCAAAAGGCTGCTGCAGCAGGACACTCTTCCTCACTCCCATCTCCACCGTGTACAGAGTGAAGCCCTCGTCTATGTGCACGCCCAGAGTGCATTCTTTACCGTTCCAGCTGCACGCTAAAACACAACACACACACAAATACTGTTACTGTGGGGGCTATGCTAAAGAAACAAATATAAGTAATAAGTATGATTCAATGCAGTTTTACGAGTTACATTAAAATCATGAAACTTTTCTAAATCAGTGATGATATCAAAGTTATTTGGAGAACTTTCAAAACACTTCCCTTTAGCGACAGCTGTTACATTTTTAGGAAGTTTTGCCTTGCTTTTCTTCATATAGGTTGATGCTATCAAATAAAATGTATGCATTGTTTATGACATTTTTAAAATAAACCACCGATTTAAATGTGAAATGTGTGAAAGCATAAATATATAAAATATTATAAAGAGTGAAATTGTGAAATATGATTGTAAACAATACACTGAACCCGAGACCTTCTCAAAAGCAGGTTTACTTTTAATATGCACTTGCATTTGCTGCCAGCAGGTGGCTCTGTAGCACCACTTTCAAAGTAACGCCCAAAACATAAACACAGTTTCCTCAGATAAGTTGTGTCAGCAGCATACAGCATATGGATAATGTTAGCACGACTCTGCATGGCACAGATACATCAATATATTGTGCTCAATCTCTCAAACTAATGACACATCTTTGTTTCTTCCTGTAAATAAATGAGACACAAATGCTCACAAATCAGTTAAATGTGGACAGCTTTCTCACTGCACAAACTCCTAATCAGATTTTCTACAGAACAATCAAACGCAACTTCTGCTGCAGCTTACAGCGGGCGCTCCCTGTGGTGAGAGCCCGACTGCTTTGAATAGAAATAACATCTTGTGCCCAGACGCTACATTGGAACTGATATGCTTGAGATGGAAATAAATGAATAATGAAAACAGTATGCACTATGTGAAAAACAAAGTAGCAAAAAAGTGCTGTTAACGCTAAATGCAGTCAATATGAGTACACTATGTTTGTCATAAAAAATACAGTTGGGTTGAGTGTTTGGATGGATTCTTTACAATTTGGAGCGAAGGAGAAGATACAAAAAACTGTTACTGACACCTTTTTTAAGGTAGAACTAGAGATAAACCAATATATTAGGTTGATATTTTGACTTTTTACCGTATCAAGTACTGGCCTTAAATAATATGCTGCTATTTTGTTTTAGTTAATCTGCTGCCAAAAATCCACAAAAGCTTGACATGAACACTTAAATACGAAGAGATAGCTGCACAAAACATGACAACATAGCTCTCTTACGGATTTGTGGTAAAAAGGGGATTGGGAGGAGTTTGTAGTGAATTAAAAAATGAAGAAAAACAAAAACATATAGGTTGATCCCAAGTCAGAACTATGTGTAATTTGTTTTGTATACAGTTTAAAGAGTCTACAATACAATGCAAAGCTCTTCTATTGCATCAACTGTCCCATTACATCACTATAATTATTATAATGTCTCTATCAAAACATGTCTAGAGTTGTTTGTTTCATTCATGCATGCTTTAGTAACTCCTATGTACGTACTATGCATAGCTCAAAACACATTCCCCTCACTGGCACTTTAAAAACACAGAGGAGCTTTATGTATTGCAAAGCCCATACAATTACATCAGACTTGTGCTCTCCGCTGTACAATATAACCCTAACATAATCAAATTTCAAATACATAATCCAGCAGAACTACAAGAAATACCATCACTTTAGTGTCTAAACTAAAAACCTATGGTCAAGGACACAATAATATCGTGGACCATCACAATATATCGCATTACAAGTCTCTTTGCTTAAATTAAGAGTTATGGTGCAGCAATAGCTAAAAAAAGACAGAGAACTACATAGACCATGATCCTTTGCTCCATTTCAGTGCAGACTACATCAAGAAATAACAGTTCTAAGTGCTTTTAAGTAGCATATTCACAGTTTTAGCTGTTTAGTCTCCACAAAATATCACAATAAATATCGTACCGTGAGATGTATATTGTGAAAATATCATACCGAGAGATTTGGATATCATTACAACCATAATCTTATATATATATATATATATATATATATATATATATATATATATATATATATATATATATATATATATATATAATATATATATATATATATATATACTATATATATATATATAAAGGTTGTGGAGAATGACCGAGCCAAGATCCTGTGGGACTTCCAGATACAGACTGACAGAATGGTGATGGCGAACCAACCAGACATAGTGGTGGTGGATAAGAAACAGAGCAGAGCCGTGGTGGTTGACATCGCAATACCAAGCGATGGTAATATCGGGAAAAAGGAACACGAGAGAAATACCAGGGGCTCAAGGAAGAGCTGGAGAGAGCCTGGAAAGTAAAGGCATCAGTGGTGCCTGTGGTGATCGGAGCACTCGGGGCTGTAACCCCCAAACTGGAAGAGTGGCTACAACAGATACCGGGAAAAACAACGGACATCTCAGTCCAGAAAAGTGCAGTACTGGGAACAGCAAAGATACTGTGCAGAACTCTCAAGCTCCCAGGCCTCTGGTAGAGGACCCGAGCTCAATGAGGGTGAGAGAGACCTACCACCGTGGAAGGTGAGAAACACATATATATATTATATATATATATATATATATATATATATATATATATATATATATATATATATATATATATATATATATATATATATCGTGAGCTTTCCCACGATATTGCAATAAATATTGTACTGTAAGGTTCATACCATGACGATATCCCTATGTATAAACAAAGATAAAATTACAATAAAACTGCATAAATGGTGCTGGTTAAATCTGTTGTACCTGATTTTTATTCTTTTGAAAGCCTGAAAAACAGCACTCTTTTTAAACAGTGTACAGTCACTGTGGTCCAAAGTGATTCTTCACCTCCGTAACATATCCAGGCATCCTAATTATGCACTGCAATAACTTCATAGGTGCATTTCACAACTTGCCTTCACAGTGCCTAACAACAACAAGGAGGCAAACAGTGTACTGAATGCAGACAGTACACAGCGGTCTTGTTTTGACCTTATTTTTAACTTAATTTAACTACATAATTGGTTACAGCCACATTAAAGGTGCACTGTGTAACATTTCTAGTGGAGGGTCTATCACCTGCTTGTTCCCATGGAAATATTATTGCTTTGTCTAGAACAGGGACGTCAAACTCAAAATCACAGAGGGCCAACATTAAACGTCATTTAATGAAAAATTTCAACAACATCTGCTTTTTTTCTCTTCTTTCAAAATATATAATGTTAAACCTTTTCATATTAAAATAAATGTTTAATAACAGTTTTCTTAAACATTGAATCCAGAACAAGCAAAATATGAAATAATAACAAAATTTTAAATAAATAATGTCTCTATAGCCTATCTGTAACCAGTAGACCAGCTCTAATACATATTTGATATGATCTTGCGGGCCAAACATAATTACATCGTGGGTCAAATATGGCCCCTGGGCCTGAGTTTGATATGTCTGGTCTAGAATATTCAGTAACAGTTCAGATATGGAGAGTCACTCCTATTCACAGAAGGAATTATTGTATTTTTGAGCAACAGAAACACCCATAATGAATAAATTCTCGATGTTTAATGTCATACCATGGAACATTCTAGACAAAGCAAGAACATCTCCATGGAGACAAGTACAGTAGGTAGCGGACCCACCACCAGAAAAGTTGCACAATGCACCTTTAAATAAATACTTGTGTACTTATTTGTACTTACTCATACTAATAATGTTAAAATGTAGTGTGTATGTGTGTACTACCTGTAGAGACCTCCTTGACGAGCTCGGCGGCGCAGTGGCAGCCCTCAACCAGCAGGTGGGTCCACAGAGACAGCTCTTTGGCAGAGTCCACTCTGAACACATGAGTCTCCACGCCCTGTTTAGTCCCTGAACGCACTCCAAAAGACAGCTCCGAGTCCAGAAGTGGAGACGACTTACCCGGGCCTGAATGCACCAGTCTGCACACACAACAAACATATATATGAATACAGTTTTCAGTAGATTTTGTTTTTATATGAGGAAAATGCATGGAGGTATGACTCATTTCATTGGGTGGTTGTATAAATATGTTCCGTGCTGCTGACATTTCCCATATTCCACTTGTGGAAAAAGTGACTGTGCAGTATGTGCTGGTTTAAAGGAAATCAGTCTTTACTTTTTTTTCTAGATTAGAGATTCTCAAAAGTAGAAAATTACTTACAGAATTGAATCCATAGAATTAAAAGTTAACCAAAACTTTACTCTTGTGAGCTTTAAGTCATGTTACAGTGTTCGTCATCCTCAAAAACAAACCTGGAGCTGTATTTTCTTTCACTCACACATGTCTGAAAAATCCTGGTTTATTAGTCTACATCCCCAAAGCTCAAAACATCTCCATGGAGACAAGCAAGTGTCAGACCACCTAGTTACTCAGTGCACCTTTAAAACTAAAATAATTCCCACTTGTCTAAAGAAATAGTATTGTTAATTGCCATTGTCACATCGTTAAATAGTCAGGGTCACATTTTTATACCTTGAAGGCACTCAAAGGACATCAAGGAACAACTCAGTGTACGCAGACACTAGGGGCGAAGTGGGTTTAAACATCTTTCCTAAGGACACAATGACTGCATTCATCTCTAAGAGCTGGAATTGCACCGCCAATCTGTGGGTCAAGTGGATATGATCACTCAACTAATGATGTTTTTATACTAAGAGTGGGATTTGAGATCAATGGACAAACGCTCACCCAAAAATCACTGAAATCATTATTGAGTATGATGCCTATTTCTTACTAACAAGTACAGAGTTTGAGATTTTAGAATTGCAACATGAGTAATAAATAAAATATCAAAATGACCTGGTAGTGATGAGGGGGTAGCTCTTGGAGGGGTTGCTGAGGCTCTCCTTGGTTTCAGGCAGTGAGGAGTACAGCAGCAGGTCTCTGTCTGTCAGAACGGCGAGCACAGGCTTCTCTGGACCCTGGGTCATCTGGACATGACAACAATCAGATATGGCCAGTTGAAATCAGATAACTAGAATAATCAAATGACTCAATCATTATAAATAACACAGGAAAAATCTGATGCAAAAATGTTGTGACCTCATTAAAAACAGACCTGGAGTTGTGTTTTGTTTCATTCACACATGTTTGTTTAACCCTTTGTTATTAGTCTGTCTACATCTCCAAAGCTCAAAATGGTTTGTTCCACCTAGTGCTGACACATGGTCGTAGTTTTCAAATGAACAGATCCTTTTACCTATAGTTCAGTAGAGATTGGCAATTCCAGGGCTGAAATCATCCAAATGATTCTAATGAAGGTGTAAAGAGTTTAAAAACACAGTGGAGCACTTCTTGTATTACCATATGACAGAGGTGGGACCAAGTTGTCGTCTTGCAAGTCTCAAGTAAGTCTCAAGTCTTTGACCTCAAGTTTTTGACCTCAAGTCCGAATCAAGTTCCAGGTCAAATACAGGCAAGTCCAAGTCGAGTCTCAAGTCACCGGCTCATAAGTCCAAGTCAAGTCCAAGTCCTGCTTTGAGCTTCAAGTCATTTCCAGTCTTTAAACCAAAGTACCAAATATAATATAGCTTAGATTTTTGCAATTTAACAAACTAAATTGTACTTAAAAAAGCAGTGTATATTATATATGAGTATTTATAGAGTATGTATGTGTTGTAGAAGTGTAATTTTTTTTTTTCTTTTTAAATGTCTTGACAATATCTTAATTTGAATCATTATGGTAGGAATAGAAAGAATTCAGATTTAAAAGTGCTTCTCAAGTCTTCTCAGGCCTCAAGTCCAAGTCAAGTCTCAAGTCATTGACCTTCAAGTCCAAGTCGAGTTATTTGGAAGAAAAGGAACAACACATTTTAAAATAACTCTAATATTTTCTCATATTTTTGCCACATTAGTTTGGCTTTTTTGAATAACTGTCCTTGTCAAAACCTGCACAGACTGAAAAGAAAGAAATCAGATTACTCACATCAGATGTTTAGATGACATTTCAGTAATCTGATCATGAATCACAAACACAGTCTCATTCTGAAGTTGGTGGCAGTGTGCATTTGAAATAAGACAGAGAAACTAATTTGCTGTTTGTCACATTTCATTTTTACAACTTTGTGAAATGTAGGATTTTCTGATTCATGCAGTGATTTCCAATTACCATCTTTTTTGAGATGTGTTTATGCCAAATTGAAAATGTGTTTGCATATTTGTTTAACAGTTTAAAGGGCCCATATTACACTATTTTCTGATCTATGTTATAATCTTGTTCCCTCATCACAAACGCATCTGGAGTTTTGTTTCATTCGCACGTTTAACACACAAACTCTGCATATTTAGGCTGAGTTCTTCTCTCAAATTTGAAAACAACCTGTTCCGCCTTGTGATGTCATGTGGAAATACAGAAGTGCCCCACTGTGTTTTTAAACTCCATACACCTTCACTTGAGTCATTTGGATGATTTCAGACCTGAAACTGCCAATCTCTGCTGAAGAAAAGGTAAAAGGAACTGTTAACATGAAAGGCTGTTAACTTTTGGAGATGTAGGCAAACTAATAATGCAGGATTACCGTATTTTTTGGACTATAAGGCACAATGTCAATAATGTTGAATTTTCTCATCTTTTTTCATACATGAGGTGCACCGGATTATAAGGCTCATTAAGCGAAACAAACGGACTAAGGGATCAGTCTCAAGTGTCGTCTAAGCATCCACGATCCATTGGCAGAACGTGGTGTAATTCACCCGCCGATCCCTCTCGGTCGTGGTGAATGTGTGTTTTTTTTATTCCCTATGAGGAGGACTCAAACATACATTGAGTAATAATGTGTTTAATGCAGCTTTGTGCACATTTGTTTAGTTTTACAGAAACAAAACATAAAATGACATGACTAATTTGCATAAACTATAAGCGCTGAAAAAAACATCTCACTCCTAGTGCGCTGATGCGATCAGATTCTGTCGGACTAAAGGACACAACTGGAATATGAGTGTTCTCTCTATGACAGAAGATGTGCTGCTGATGAGTCTTCTTTGTGCTTCTATCACATTGGAGATGGTTCATGTGAAACGTTTCAGATTATAAATATATACTCCACGAGGCTCCTGACTACGGTCGCCATAATGCTCCAACAATTCATCAAGCGCTGTCAAAAAAACATTTTGACAGATTTTTGAGCGCTGTGTATCACATAAAATCAGTTCGACGTCAGTAAGCACAACCAGAATTAATACATAAGGTGCATCGGATTATAAGCGCGGCTTATGTATTAATTCTGTATTAATAAAATACGATACTCAAACATGTGTGAATGAAACAAAACACAACATTATAACACGTCTTAAAATGTTAATTGTCCTATAATGTATACCTTTAAATATTATTGGCCTATAGAATGTTGTGATAACCAAGTAATTTTATGCATTGCAGTTCCTCTTGTATTTCAGATGTAGAGTTGTACCTGCTCAGTTATCCAGCCCAGATGTTTGACCTCCACATCGAGCTGCATGCTCCTCATCTCCTCCTTGACTCGCGGTAACAGGCTGGCAGCGCCCGCTTGGATGGCATTGTACCAGGACTGAGCCATAGCCGGGTCCTTTGCCCGCAGGAACAGAGAGCTCTTTCTGTTGGATGAAACCACTTCGAAATACCTGGCACACAAATGAGAGAAAGAGGGCGAGTGAGGAGAGCTGTGCTGCACAGAGACCCATGCACATTAGAACAAAGCATAGGTGATTACACTGTTCACTGTGAGCTATGTGAGGCTCCAGGCTGCTTAAACTTCTGCTACTGTCAGGGGAGGGAAACAGACATTTTACACTTTTACAATTCATCAAAGAGAAAATTATCTATGTACCAAAACATTGCAGTGATTTGTGCCCAATGGCTTCGTCCCAGTTTAGGACTGGCACAGTGCATATACTTGTAACTTAGGGATGGTAAAATGAAATAATAAAAGTAAATTTAGTAGCCTCAATAACACCTGCTAAAACCTGCTTTCAAAGGACACATATTATGCGTTATTTATAGTGTTATTGGCCTTTAAACATGCTCTTTTGTACCTTTTTTAGAACTTCAAATAATTGCCATATAATGAACCCGAGATTATTTTTCCTCTTGGACCCACACTGAAATCTGGTGTAGGGCAGGACTAACAGCTAATAATTAAGAAACATGCTCAGACATGTTAATATGAGAGTGCAGTTATAATGAACACAATTTAATAACTTGTTTTGAACAAGTCTAGTGATGATTTAAGAGTTTTTACCTATGACATAACAATCCTTGGTATTTTTTATTTTTTTTTTATCAAAATTCAAGAGTTTTTTGTGCTCAGGAGAAAGGGACTTACTGCACTGGTAAACAAGTGTGAATGAAGCAAAATACAACATGGTAAAAAGCTCAAAAAGTAAATTTTGCATAACATGTGTCCTTTAAATACGGTATTATGCAAAATCCACTATTCTGAGAAGAGTTACAGTTTATTTCTCTTATTTAGTCATCTTTGTTGCTGTGCTGAAAACACTGTTCTCACCTCCCACCTATGTTCCTGATCAATTCCTACTCAATGATGTTCTGAACAGGTTGTCCTCTTAATTCCCTTTGCTATGATTTATTTCTAAAAGAAAAGTACTTTGGTATTATGTAGCACATTTTGTGAAATTACAATTTAAAGGTTGTGGTTTGAGGGACTACTTTTATTCAAACTTGTCATTTTGACTTCATGTGAGTAAACTGTATGTCTTCAGCCACTAATATCATAAAATGAATGAATAAACAGAATAAAGACTGTGATACCTGTGCTCTGTATCCGGGGGGCACTGTTTCCGTGACACCTGGCACATCTTGAGCGGGATGCTGCGGGGTTCCCTCAGCTCGGCGGGGGTGGGCTCGGCAGCGCCCCTCTGTGGTGTGGAGGGGGGAGAGTCCCAGGGGAGAGCAGAGCCGGGGGAGCCAGACGTCTTAAAGAAGGCAGACATCTCCTTGATGTACTTGACTGTGCAGAGGAGAGAGGGAGGGGAGCGGTTAGATAATGAAGGCAACTCCAAAGGGACAAAAAGAGCAAATGAGAGTGGATAAGGAGCCTCAGGTTAAAGATGGGGCTCTAGTGAAACTTCAGCTTCAAAGCAGCTGGACCTGTTCTGTGCATTCACTCCAGTAGCTTCCAACATCATGGCTTTTAACTTCCTGGTTTTAGGTGACATTAAGGACATTTGACCATTCAAATTAAATGAAAAAAATTAGTTTTGAATTATTAAGTGCTATGGTAACTGTGCAGATTTGTCATCACTTTGAAACCAATATGAGCTAATCTTGTATTGGAATCTATAAAACATTTTGCATATCTTCAAAATAAAGATGAAATGATACAACTTTTTTAGTTCTGATGCCAGTATTGATACTTTAGCTTCAAGTATGTGTAGTAGTTGTAGCCATTACCTGATATTATTGGATACTACTCCAGGGACTGAAAACAGAGTGCGTTTCATTAAAACACAATTAACTTCTAACAGAATGGCTTCAATTATGTTATGTAACTGTTATTTATCCTTCAAATAACTACAGACCTGCTTTGTGTAAATGAAAGGTCAGACTTGAAGATAGTCTATGTTCTGGACAGAGACAAGCCAATAGTCTTATTACATAATTTTATAAGCCTAACAAGGACTGTACCAGGACACAAATCAAATGAGTTTTTCAAATGACATTACATTCATTTTCCTTTTTTAGTGTGTTCAGTAGTTCAGTACAGAGGAACATAAAAAGCAAAACATGTCAGGGTGATTGCATAAAATCCGGAATACATCATTAGATAAGAAAGATCTGTTCAAGCATGTTCAAAATCATAGCCGTTTGTTTTAACTTCCTTCCTATGAATTAACAATCATTATTATCCTTTCAGCTGCATTGCACAGAGAGCTGGCTTGACTTCATTTGAATTTTAACAGTAATTCTGCGGTTGCATCATTGCTCTGCTCCCACCTCCACCCGCCCAAACACAGCGTGCCCTCTGCCCCAGTGCAGTGGGCTGTGGTAGGACTCTGGCAAACTGACAGAGCTTTACCACTGCGGGTTAAAAATAGCCTTAAGGACATGGCCAGGCAGGAGGCTCAGACCTAAGAGTGGCTCTGGTTTCACTGGAGGAGGTGTGAAGAGCCGCTCCAGACGGGGGGCAAGAGGAGAGGCGACAGAGGGCAGGAGGGGAGGAGGGGAGACTGCCCTGGAAGAGGGGAGTCAGAGGAGGCCCAGCACCAGACACAGATATAGTAGATCTTTGCATCATTCACATTTAATCAGGCTGTCAGATATTAGCTATAAAGACCAAAAATTAAAGTGAGTTTTGAGTGTTTATATAAATTTATAGTAGTATTATATATGCTCTGGTGTAGGCAGGGCATGGTGTCTTACAAAATAAAGATTGTGAATCACCAAGAAACAATAAAACAATGCATAAATTATACATTCTTTTCTTTCTTTTTTGACAAAATGTGGAAATATAATAGGTCTCTGAGTTTCTTTTTGGGTGTGTCACAATTTAAATTTATTTCATCCTTCATTCAAAGCTGCACGTGCAAGCAATAATTTACTGTTGAAATAAACATGAAATTAAATCATCCATCCATCAACACCATTGCTGTGACTGAAACTCAAAACTGGGAGTGTTTTTCACTGAGCACAACGTTCTAAATAAGCAGTTCTCCGGTATCAACTAAGATAATGTTTTGCTTTCCAAGTACCACCAGATCTAAACCCAAACTCCGTGTCCCCGAGACCTTTACTATTCTTTACTATCCCCACAAAGCTCCCACCTGACACACACGTGCAAACTAGTCCCACAGGAAGTCATACCCCATGTGCCAAAGGCTGCGTGTGGACATTGTCTCGCCCTTGGCACAAAAAGATCAGGCGCTATCACGTTTCACAGAGTCCAGACTCCCTCCATAAAAGTCTCTGAACACTAGAAATCTACTGCGAACAACTATGTAACCAAAACGGGACATGGTTTCCAGCCACGGGGGGACCTGAGGCAGAGGTTGGGTTTAAAGGGAGATGACCTAAATGCCTGAACTATGAGCAAAGCGTCTTCTCTGAGTCAGCAGCAGGGCCAGTCTTTCTGTCTGCACGCCCCTCGAGGAACTGGATCCTGTATCACACTGTAATATGACATTCTTTATAAACTCATAGAATACAAGAGGCTTCAGACAATGTTGTAAAGATACTGATATCATGTTGTTAAAAGTCTCACAATTATATCATGGCCTGTCACAATATATTGAATTACAAGCATCTTTGGATAGAGGTATTGTTTTATTGCAGCAACAGCCCAAAAAAAAAACAAAAAAAAACAGAGAACTACATAGACCATGATCCCTTGCTCTGTTTCAATGCAGGCAACATGAAGAAATATCTATTATTTCTAGGGGTGTAATGATATCAAATTTTCACGATACGATATCATCACAGTATGAACCTCACGGTATGATATTTATTGTGATATCGTGGGAAAGCTCACGATATAGTGGGGAGGCTCACGATTAGGGATGTAACAATATCCAAATCTCTCGGTACAATATTTTCACGATATACATCTCACGGTACGACATTTATTGCGGAATTTTGTGGAGGCTGCGAACAAAACTGTTAATATGCTACTTTTTCCTCTTAAAATGCCTTGACAAACCTTAATCCAAAGAACTAAGACTAAAAGTGCTTAGAACTGTTATTTCTTCTAGTAGTCTAAACTGAAAAAGAGCAAAGGATCATGGTCTATGTAGTTCCCTCTGTCTTTTTAGCTATTGCTGCACCATAACACTTAATTTAGGCAAAGAAACTTGTAATTCGATATATTGTGATGGTCCACGATATTATTGTGAGAACTTTGACAATATGATATCACATATTTCGGTTATTGTTGCATCCCTAGTTATTTCATATAATTCTTTGGAAAATGACAGTAATGATTCACACTAAGGTCTTGTCAAGGCATTTTAAAAGGAAAACGTAGCATTTCTACAAAGCCATTATCACAATAAATATCGTACTGTGAAATGCATATTGTGATAATGTTGCATGTTGTTGAGTGAGATTTGGATATCTTTATGTCCTTAAAAATCACAAAGAAGATATTTGAATAACTGAATTGCGGTTTCTGAGTACTTTATTGTTGAGTAAATATTGCAGTAAACATGTGCCCATATAACCTCGCCAATGCCTGATCTCAAAAGCTTAGCAGAGCTGGATCTGCTTAGTACTTGGATGGGTGACTACCGGGAATACCAGCTGCCTCAGTGTGACAGAAGTGGCTTGTGGGAAGCGCCATTGTGTCCTTTGGCAAGACACTTCAGCCACCTTGCCTATGTATGAATGTGCGTGGGTAATTGGTGGCGGTGGGAAGGGCAGAAGGGACAGATTGAGATCTTCACTTCTGTCAGTCTACCCCATGGCAGCTGTACCAGTAGCACCCCGAGTATGGAGAGAATGAATGATGCAATGTAACACACTTTGGGAGTCTTGAAAGGCGATAAATAAATCCAATGCAATATGATGTTGTGTAATAGTATATTTAAAGTAGCACACGATAAAAACAATTGAAAAAGTTTAATTACAATTGTAAGTAGAGGAAAGTGAGGAAGATTTTGAACAACTACTTTTCAGTTAATAAATAAATAAATGCATACATATCTTAACATCTAGTTTAATGAGTTACTTTTTTTTTTAGCAACTTCCAAGATACTCAAATAGCTTTACAATACATGGTTTAATCACTCCATACTCAGTGGTGGTGAGCTTCTTCTGTAACTTCTATAGCTACACCTTCCCTGGGACAGACTGACTGAAGTGTGGCTCTGAATCTGTGCCACTGGCCCTACCACTCAACACTCACACACCCCTTTCATACTTGATTTGGCTCATTTTAACATTTTAACATTTTTTTGCTTCATGTATATTACGCTTTCTAATTTTAATTGTTAGACAGATTTTTTTTACTTAGGATTGATGGCCGGTAGTGGCTCAGTTGATAAGAGCGTTTTTCCAGCTCCCGCAGGTGAATGCCGTCGTTATGTCCTTGGGCAAAAGACACTTATAGCCTGATTCATCAGCCGGTTTCACTTCATTGAAACTGTCTGACCTCGCAGCATTAGGATTCGTTCGTGCGACGGTAGGTGGGTAGTTTTTTTATTTAACCTATTTGGTGGTGACGTATGCAATGTGCTGCTAACGGGCCTAACTGGTATATTAAGCTTTTCCCAAATCCCGTAGGAAGAAGGGCAATAACGTCTTTCCCCTCGATAAAATTCACCAAACATTCTTTTTGTTCCGGCTTTAAATCCTCGAGCTCAGGAATCGTTACCAACACAGAATGTATGGCTCTTCGCTGACTGGCTGGTGTCTGAACTCACACTTCCGGGGTTTTTGCGACCCTTCTAGTGTATTCCGATTCCTGATCTAGTCGCTGGAGAGAAATGAAATTAAGCGGAGGCAGTAGGTGGCGCCAGACTGGTTAAGACACTTAACCCACCTTGCCCCTAGTGTCTGAGTACACTGATGTATGAGTGTGAGTGTGTGAATGGGTGAGTGGTTCCTTGTAAACGCTTTGAGTGCCTTGAAGGTGGAAAATCGCTCTATAAAAATGTGACCATTGACTCCCTTTTACTGTCTTAATTTGTCTGTACAGCACTTTGGAAAGCCACATGTTTATAAAATGTTCTAAATAAATAAAGTGGATTAGATTGCACACACCTTTCTTACTATCCAATCTTTGTCAGCTGCACCACACACTGAACTCTTCTCACTACTATGGGTATTTTTCCATTATTTTGTCGAACACGTAGTGAATACTGATTGGGAACTCTGCTTGAATGACCTTTACAGACTGTTATTAATACTTCAGGCAGTTTCAGAAATAGAATCAAATAAAAAGCACTAGAATAGAGGGGCTGAACAATTTGGGGAAAATATCTAATTGCGATTGTGATTAGATTTGCAATTAGTATT